TATTAGTATGGAAACTGCGAAAATGAAATGATTAAGGAAAGCTAGATATGAAATGTTTATTAAATCTGTTTTGATTGAGATTCTGATAAAGTATGTATGCATAAGGAGGATGGGAAACTTGTGAAATCTGCTCTAGGTGAAGATGAACGTTATCTTCCCGTTGAGCATGTTTGTTAATATTGCATGAACTGTTGCGTGTGAACTCGTATGCATGATGATTGCTTGTGTTATCTTTCTTGTTGAATAGGAAGGAATTATGAGTGTGGATTAGGGTGCTTGTGACTAAGTAGGCTAGACGAGATCCTAGAATGGGAGACCTCTAGAACACCGTGCATATAGACCCGCAAAATGATTACTGGAAGATTTAGAGCCCAGAATTCCAAACCCGATAGGTTTGCGAGACCAGGCACGAGAATCCTAGAGATGCATGAAACCAAGTCTAAGCCACCAAGTTCCACCCTAGAAAGAATAATAGGTCACCACGGTAACTGTAGGTAGCCCGCTAGAGTTGAGCAGTGTGGATAGTGTCATCAGAACCTCCACTTCCCTCTCTGTTTCGATACCGTACCGTTGAGACAGAGCTCCGGTACGAAGATCATTGAACTTGGAAGATCTGGATAGGGAAGTGTGACTGGTGCCCAGACCTAGTTGTTATAGCTAAGGGGTCTTCTGAACAGGACTCCTGAACCGTAGAAACCCATCCCTGAGTAGGGGACGTGGAGCCACGTAGGATGACTCAGTTGCTGACCAGCACATAGGGGATCGCACCCTGAATTTAGTCGATGTATGGTCCCGTGTGAGGGTCGTCAGCTAACCTCCATGGATGATGTTAAAAAAGAGTCACGTATTCAGATCTAGCCATACGATCCCCTCAGATTTACTTATGAGGTCGTGCCTCACCTTAGAACACTGATCATTTCACTGCTTAAGATGAGCAAGCCTCCTAAGATACAAAAAAGAGAGTTGTAGCGGGATTCGTACTCACTAGAACCCAGAGATAAGACCGTGAATACCTATTAAGATAAGGATGCGAAAAGAGCCTACAAGTAGGTTGCTTACTGAGTATATTTTAATAGTCACTCCTTTCTCCCCTTTTTTTTTCACGTACCAGTAGATAAGTGGGAGGTGTTCGAGAGCTGCACTGTCACAGAGGGGTGTCGTTCTGGAGCGTCAGTCCCTTGTCGGTCTTTTAGAGTCCTTTGTCCGTTTTCATATTTAGAGTCTTTTGTATTTCATTTTATATTTGTAATTCCTATTTGTAACCTTTGACTTTGATTTTATATTTAATTTTGGTGTCCTTGATTTCCTTTTCTTGTTTTAAATTTTGCCGAACTTTTACCTTCTATTTTATTTTCTTTTCTTTTTTATTTGTTTTCGATTTCGTCTTTTTAGTCACAATTCGATCTTTCGAAGCCTCGAAATTCGAGTCGTGACAGATTGGTATCAGAGCAGTCGGGTTTTTTATTCTGTAGACTTTTTCCTAGGATAGAGATTCGTACACCTCTGTGACTCAGCTCGACGACATACCTCGTCGCGACCAGGTAAGCAGTCTAACCTTATTTAGTAGGTTATGATATAATGTAACGTCAGTAAGAACTTGATGTATGTTTTGGGTTAACGCTTTAGGATGTTAAAAGTGAACATTCCCTCTATATGTTGATGCAAGATTCGAGTTATTGTGAGGAGGCTGAGAGGGGTCATGTTTTAGCTTACTACCTTAGGAAGACAGAAAGGTGACTCCGCAGAGTCCGTGACGTCCAACCCATAGAAATGTACATGAAACTTTTAAGGCCCTGGACGAGATGATATATATATGACCTAGCCTCCCATGACCATAATTCTAGATGTCAAGCATGCCTCCGTGGAGATCACGTAGTAGGCCTAGATAGTATAGAGTTGTCTTGGTGCAAACCACATAGTAGACCCAGACAATATCGTTCTTATAAGTAAGGGCGGCCACTGTAGGAATTAAGCACCCCTCAAGCAAACTATTTTCACGAGTGAGTTTGGTTAAGTTGGAAGTCGAGAGATAAGATTCACCAACAGAGAGGGTGAAGCTATGGAGGCCCTGTAGCTTCAAGGTTGGTTAGAGTCTTCATGATATAAGTTCAGGTTTATGGACTTCTATAAGTGAGATGTGCGCTTTTATACCACTAATGAGTCATGGGGTGTAGAATATTCCTACTAAAGGATTACCTCATAGATGACAAGTCGCTTTGGACCTTGGTGGAGAGGACCAAGTTCAAAAGCAGTACGTGGTTATCAGGACCATCAAACTGTGTTCTAACCTATCCTTTGGTCAGGGCATGTATGCTCACAAGGTGAAGGATGTGGAACTGTCAAGGTAGTCCAGCGAACCTCAAGGTTGAGAACAGCAAGAAAAGAGGTCAAGCTGTGGTCATGCCTTCGCCATCTGAAGGAAGAAAGTCCAGATGGGTGTTAATAAGAACCAACCCTTGTGTAGGTGATCCGGACTACAAAGAGTAGAACTCCAGTTTCATACACGAGTCTAATGCCAAACTNCAATTTTTTATTTTCCTCACAATTTTACAAATTTTTCTATTGTCTTTAAATTTTTATATTTTCTTATACATCACTCGAATATACTTAGTTCCGTCACCAAATTTGTAATGTTTGAATCATCTTTCCAATAAAAATTATTTTCATACAATTTCATTAACTACGAATAGAAATAAACTCATTCAAAACTGCTTGGAGGATGATTTGACTGAGAAGAATGTGAGTCAGAGATGCGAGTCGCAACTAGAAGTTGCTAAACATGTCGATTGAATATAACCATCTTAATGCCCCTAATTTTCATGTTCAATTAGAGATGTCACCACATGCATGCCTTTAATAGCATATGTGAAAATTTAAAATAAAATATTTTTAAACAAAGTCATGGATTTACAGGTTAATTTAAAAGCAAAAATTATAAATAACTTAATATTTATTTTTAAACAAAGTCATGGATTTACAGGTTAATTTAAAAGCAAAAATTATAAATAACTTAATATTTGAATACAAACAAAGTCATGGATTTACAGGTTAATTTAAAAGCAAAAATTATAAATAACTTAATATTTGAATACCAAAATAAAAAAGCCACCTATCAACTACTAAATGAAAAGCCAATGCATACTACTACCTTATCTTGACTTCCATGGTCATTCCAGGATTCACTATCATTTGTGCAGAGACGTTTTACCTTTACCTGAAAAATAAGGGTAGATCGTGGCTAGAGTATTTTAAGAAATACTCAGTAAATCACTCCACTATTAGGATTAGTGATGCAATCACTCGCATATAATGATGGGACTTATCATTTAAAACTATCACATGGTCTTGAGCTCTTTCCAATTTTGGGCCGGGTTTGATGTGTTGTATTTTCCCTCACATACCTCACACACATAGACCCACTAGGCAGGCTTGTGTACGCACCCCTTGGGCCTTTCTTGGTTGGGCACAATGCGCTAACGCGTTGCCCGATGCCACAGAAAAGGAAAATCTTGCATGATATCAAGAACATAAATATCAAAGGTACGCATTCGTACTAACATAGCATAATGGGAAAGTATCCCGATACATTACATACATACATGCATGAGGTCCCCATGATTTACATTCATAGCATTAACATCATTTCATTTCTCCTTTCATCCATGACATAGTACATACATGCATCATGTATACATGGCAGTCGTCACATAATCCATCAAATATCTTTGCATGGCAAGACATAACAAGACATACATAATATTTCATTTCATTCACAATATGGCGTAATGGATATCACATGCATACATAGCCAATCATCATATGTCATTACATAGAACACATACACATAGCATAAATAATATGGTGCATGCAGGGTCCATGGAGAATGCACAATCATACATCATTCAATTATCTAACTGCAAAAGGTCCCCCCACCTGATTAAAAGTTTTTGTCACCAATTTATCCTTCATCAAAGTTCAATTTTGTTCTTTGACATCCAAGTCAACCTATGTGAGCCCATTACTTCAATTTCAAGTTCAAATTTGTGCAAAACTATTTCTCTACCTTTTTTACAATGACCCTTGTATCAGACTTCAAGATCTAAGGACTTCGGAAGAACTACATGACTAAAATACGAGTACATTATGGATATGCCTAAAGGTAGATGCACCAGTTGTCTAGTGGTAGAATAGTACCCTGCCACGTTACAGATCTAAGTTTGATTCTCGCCTGGTGCATCTTGAAGATTAGCTATGATGATATTAGTGCATAATGTTCAAACTTCGGTTTGTTACAATATATCACTTAAATATATAGATTTCACTAGTAGCACTATGGAGCTTTTTTTTTTTTTTTTTTTTTAAGTGGTGAAAGTTAAGGGCTTCAAAGGAACTGTATGACCAAAATATGAGTACCTTATGGAGTACCCTGCCACGATACGGACCCGAGTTCGATTCTCGGCTGGTGCATCTTGAAGATTAGCTATGATGATGTTAGTGCATAATGTTCAAACTTGTGTTTGTTACAATATATCATTTAAATTTATAGATTTCACGAGTAGCGCTATGGAGCTTGACCAAAGTACGAGTACATTATGGATATGCCTAAAGGTAGATGCACCAGTGGTCTAGTGGTAGAATAGTACTGTAATGCCCGAATTTTTAGATAAATAAATAAAAAATAAAAATAACAACATAGGGGCAAAAGGGTCATTTTGCCCCTACTCTTACCGGGTATAGTTGTTTGGGCTCAAAGAAGAAAGAGAAAAGAAAAAAAAGAAAAGAATAGAAAAGAATACGAGTTTATTATGGATATGCCTAAAGGTAGATGCACTAGTGGTCTAGTGGTAGAATAGTAATGTAGTACCCAAATTTTTAGATAAATAAAAAAAAAATAACAACATAGGGGCAAAAGGGTCATTTTGCCCATACTTTTACCGGGTCTAGTTGCGTGGGCTCTAAGAAGAAAGAGAAAAGAAAAGAAAAGAAAAGAGAGAAAGGAGAAAGAGAAGAAGTTAGGGTTTTGGGAGAGAGGAAGAGCAGAGATGACAAATTGCAGTTTGAGATCGAATCCAAGGCAAGAAACTTCGAAGCAATACTTCTCTCGGTGCTGGGAAAGGAGTTTGGGTGGTGGATTCACTCATTTCGGCAAGAAAATTCGAGAACGGACAAAGTAAGGTTCCTAACTTCTTGTTTCGATTTTATCTAGATCTAAGGAGTTTCTTGAGCGTTAGATCTGGAGTTTTTGAGGTTATAAAATAAGATTCACATAGGTTTCTTGAAGTTCCTGGACGAGAATCAGAGTTTAGTCGGACTTCAGGTAAACCAATCGAAAACAGAAAATGTGTGTTTTTCCGTATCTTTGAACGACCTTAACTCATCCTATGCTCAACGAAAAAATAAAGAAAAAATATATTGTAGAAGTAGAATATGAGACCTCCAATGTTCGTGAAGAAACTTTGTTGATATGGATTACGGATTGAAAGATAAGAAAATCTGAAGAAAATAGATTGAAACACTAATCTGGAAATTGAAACACACGCAGGAGAGAGAAAACGTCGGCCGGCGTATGGAGGAGAGAGGTGGAACTATGATCGACACATGGCGAACTGCGGCTGGAGAGGCGTGCCCCATAGGCTAGGCGACACGCATCAGGGCACGGATTCAGGTCAACCCGAGTCCGATCTGGCGCTCCGCATGCGAACAGAACCGCAGCAGACCGCTCCGCTCCGACTCGTCCGAACCGACCCATCTCGAACCGTGACTATACAGAATGGAGCACGTGGGTACGTGCGCGTAGTACACCCCCTAGAGTGCGTCAGTCACGCGTGAGTGAACTTTTTCCCTCCGTTCGACCTCCGTTTGCTTGTTTTTCGCCCCGATTCCAACTCTGATTCTATTTTTATGTGAATTAGGATCTATCAAGGAAATTCCATAATTTTTGGATCCTTTTCCAGCAAATAAAATCGAACTTGGGAAGGCACACGTCAACCATGTAAGTAGTCATTTGGATTCCCACGAGCAGTACTTGTAGGAATCGCTAAGAACAAGCATGCATGCTACCACCCGTTAACTTAGCTAACCGGACCAAGCATATTAGTATGGAAACTGCAAAAATGAAATGATTAAGGAAAGCTAGATATGAAATGTTTATTAAATCTGTTTTGATTGAGATTCTGATAAAGTATGTATGCATAAGGAGGATGGGAAACTTGTGAAATCTGCTCCAGGTGAAGATGAACGTTATCTTCCCGTTGAGCATGTTTGTTAATATTGCATGAACTGTTGCGTGTGAACTCTTATGCATGATGATTGCTTGTGTTATCTTTCTTGTTGAATAGGAAGGAATTATGAGTGTGGATTAGGGTGCTTGTGACTAAGTAGGCTAGACGAGATCCTAGAATGGGAGACCTCTAGAACACCGTGCATATAGACCCGCGAAATGATTACTGGCAGATCTAGAGTCCAGAATTCCAAACCCGATAGGTTTGTGAGACCAGGCACGAGAATCCTAGAGATGCATGAAACCAAGTCTAAGCCACCAAGTTCCACCCTAGAAAGAATAATAGGTCACCACGGTAACTGTAGGTAGCCCGCTAGAGTTGAGCAGTGTGGATAGTGTCATCAGAACCTCCACTTCCCTCTCTGTTCTGATACCGTACCGTTGAGACAGAGCTCCGGTACAGAGATCATTGAACTTGGAAGATCCGGATAGGGAAGTGTGACTGGTGCCTAGACCTAGTTGTTATAGCTAAGGGGTCTTCTGAACAGGACTCCTGAACCGTAGAAACCCATCCCTGAGTAAGGGACGTGGAGCCACGTAGGATGACTTAGTAGCTGACCAGCACATAGGGGGTCGCACCCTGAATTTAGTTGATGTATGGTCCCGTGTGAGGGTCGTCAACTAACCTCCATGGATGATGTTAAAAAAGAGTCACGTATTCAGATCTAGCCATACGATCCCCTCAGATTTACTTATGAGGTCGTGCCTCACCTTAGAACACTGATCATTTCACTGCTTAAGATGAGCAAGCCTCCTAAGATACAAAAAAGAGAGTTGTAGCGGGATTCGTACTCACTAGAACCCAGAGATAAGACCGTGAATACCTATTAAGATAAGGATGCGAAAAGAGCCTACAAGTAGGTTGCTTACTGAGTATATTTTTATAGTCACTCCTTTCTCCCCTTTTTTTTTTCACGTACCAGTAGATAAGTGGGAGGTGTTCGAGAGCTGCACTGTCACAGAGGGGTGTCATTCTGGAGCGTCAGTCCCTTGTCGGTCTTTTAGAGTCCTTTGTCCGTTTTTATATTTAGAGTCTTTTGTATTTCATTTTATATTTGTAATTCCTATTTGTAACCTTTGACTTTGATTTTATATTTAATTTTGGTGTCCTTGATTTTCTTTTCTTGTTTTAAATTTTGCCGAATTTTTACCTTCTATTTTATTTTCTTTTCTTTTTTATTTGTTTTCGATTTCGTCTTTTTAGTCACGATTCGGTCTTTCGAAGCCTCGAAATTCGAGTCGTGACAGATTGGTATCAGAGCAGTCGGGTTTTTTATTCTGTAAACTTTTTCCTAGGATAGAGAGTCGTACACCTCTGTGACTCAGCTCGATGACATACCTCGTCGCGACCAAGTAAGTAGTCTAACCTTATTTAGTAGGTTATGATATAATGTAACGCCAGTAAGAACTTGATGTATGTTTTGGGTTAACGCTTTAGGATGTTAAAAGTGAACATTCCCTCTATATGTTGATGCAAGATTCGAGTTATTGTGAGGAGGCTGAGAGGGGTCATGTTTTAGCTTACTGCCTTAGGAAGACAGAAAGGTGACTCCGCAGAGTCCGTGATGTCCAACCCATAGAAATGTACATGAAACTTTTAAGGCCCTGGACGAGATGATATATCTATGACCCAGCCTCCCATGACCATAATTCTAGATGTCAAGCATGCCTCCGTGAAGATCACGTAGTAGGCCTAGATAGTATAGAGTTGTTTTGGTGCAAACCACATAGTAGACCCAGACAATATCGTTCTTACAAGTAAGGGCGGCCACTGTAGGAATTAAGCACCCCTCAAACAAACCATTTTCACGAGTGAGTTTGGTTAAGTTGGAAGTCGAGAGATAAGATTCACCAATAGAGAGGGTGAAGCTATGGAGGCCCTGTAGCTTCAAGGTTGGTTAGAGTCTTCATGATATAAGTTCAGGTTTATGGACTTCTATAAGTGAGATGTGCGCTTTTATACCACTAATGAGTCATGGGGTGTAGGATATTCCTACTAAAGGATTACCTCATGGATGACAAGTTGCTTTGGACCTTGGTGGAGAGGACCAAGTTCAAAAGCAGTACGTGGTTATCAGGACCATCAAACTGTGTTCTAACCTATCCTTTGGTCAGGGCATGTATGCTCACAAGGTAAAGGACGTGGAACTGTCAAGGTAGTCCAGCGAACCTCAAGGTTGAGAACAGTAAGAAAAGAGGTCAAGCTATGGTCATGCCTTCGCCATCTGAAGGAAGAAAGTCCAGATGGGTGTTAATAAGAACCAAGCCTTGTGTAGGTGATCCGGACTACAAAGAGTAGAACTCCAGTTTCATACACGAGTGTAATGCCAAACTTGTGAAGCATTCTTAGGTAAAGGTAGAACCTCCAAACAACATGATTTTGGAAATTACTTGAAGGATAGTGAGATGGTGACTTGTAAACAGGTAAGACTAGCAGAGACAGGATATATGTCTTAGAGAAGACACTAGACGTAGCACCCTCGAAGTTCAAAGGAGGCTAGCTACTAAACAAGAGTTTTCAGAGAGTTCCCTAGGATCCTGTACAAGAACTTGAAAGGTTCACGTGTTCGAAAAGAGCCAATGATGGGATATCACTATGAGGGAAAATGTGACTAGCTTAGTCATAAAAGATACTACAGGGGCTGCATCTTAAAGATTAGCTTATGGATATGCCTATTCTCGGTTGGTGCATCTTAAAGATTAGCTATGATGATACTAGTCCATAATGCTCAAACTTGGGTTTTACCACCCTGCCACGGTACAGACCCGAGTTTGATTCTCGGTTGGTGCATCTTAAAAATTAGCTATGATGATATTAGTCCATAATGCTCAAACTTGGGTTTGTCACAATATCATTTAAATTTATAGATTTCACGAGTCTATCTAGTTTTTTTTTCTAAATCAAGAGGTGAAACTAAAAGTTAAGGGCTTTGGAAGAACTGCATGACCAAAATACGAGTACGTTATGGATCTACCTACTGGTAGATGCACCAGTGGTCTAGTGATAGAATGGTACCCTACCACGATACAGACCAAAGTTCGATTCTCAACTCTTGCATATTGAATGAAGATTAGCTATAATGATGTTGTTAGTGCATAATGTTCAAACTTGGTTTTGTCACAATATCAATTAAAAATAACATGAGAGGTGAAACTAAATAATGTTCAAACTTGGTACACTATCGAGCTCATAACATGAGTTTAAATAATGCCCTTGTCTAACATAAGGATCATTAAAAATAACATGAATGCAACTACCTTAACTTTGGTTCCTTGGCATTCAAAGCGACGTTGTCATCTGTAAATGGGTGTCTTACCTTTACTTGAAAATAAGAGTAGCACGTGGTTTGAGTACTTTAATAAATACCCAGTAAGTAACGTCACTGTTAGGGTCAGAAAATGAATCACGTGTAATATAGTTGGACCTATCCTTTTATAAATGTATTGTGACATGGGTTTGGACTTTTCTTTTCAGTCCGAACAGGGTTGGATATGTTGTACTATCCTACACAAGACCCATGAATGTGCACATTGGCCACTAGGAATTCATGGCAAGGAATTGGCCGGGATTAGATTCTCCATTTATTATTCTCTAAAAAAAATAGTCATTTTAAATAAATTTGTTAATGTATAATATAAACAATGAATTGGTTTTGATCCTAGAAATTGAAGTAGAACCACCTCACTCTAAATTAAACTCATTTCATCTAGTCTATTAAAAACAATAAAAACTTAATCTATGCCTAAATTATAACATAAAATTTGATAACATAATTTTCAAATCTAAAAAAAACACCACAAAAATAGTGATTAGTTTTCCCAAAGTCATAAATTAATAGTTGAATCAACAATAATGACTGGGAATGAGATAAAAATAAAGCAACCCTAATGACATAAATAAATGAGTTCAATTTGCGAAAATAATAATAATAATAATAATAAATAAAAAAAAAAAAACTAATCCAAACGTAAAAGAAATTTGTTATTACATAAATCAAATAAATGAAAAACACATTCAACCCACCCAAGCTTGGAAGACATAAAACTCATTGGAGTTTGGAATGGAAAATATATAGATTTCTTCATCTTTAGAAACATATAAAACTTGGAAATGAAACTTAAAATATCTCTCTTTGAGGCCGGCGGGAACAAGAGGGGTTAAGGGAGCTAATCCAATTTTTTGAGTGCACACAGATCTAGATCTTTAATTGTTGCTCATGATATTGAGGTGCACAGCCTACAGAAAAAATACTAACCGAGATTTACTTGTAAATATTTCTGGTTGTAATGCCCTAATCTTAATTTGGTTCACTCATGCATGCTTGTTAGGGAGATATTCATATTGATTACCTACCGCATAGAACACATTCTAAAAATCCCCTTTGTCATCTCTGTGCATTGTTGAGGTCCACTAGGTTGTTAAGAGGACTAGGTAGCTTCATGCTAACTTTCACTTTCAGGCTACCTGACTCCTCAAGTTTTCTTAGTTATTGTTGACCTCCGCTCACAATCATAAGGTACTCAGTCTACTAGAGGCATCCTGACCTAGGTTATCGTCCAGCCAACCTAACTCTAGCGCCCTAATCTCATCTCTGAGCAGAAAAGCATGCTCTATAAAGAGAACACACAATCAACCTCATGGAGCTAAACATACAATATCATGCACTCATACAAGCTCAAC